TGTTTTAGTTTGTTAGAGCATGTGAGTGGTGTACTCTGTGTTTGTGTATGTGCCTTAGTGTGTTTGTATATATGTGTATGCCTGTGTGCTTGGAGAATGGATTGTCAGTGGTATGGCTGTAACTCTGGGCACCTTGGGAGGAAGTGGAGATAGTAAAGACTTAACCTTACATGGAGTGAGGTCTGCCCTTTGCCCTTAGGCACTCCTAGGATGTGATCACCTGTCCCTGTAATGAAGACTGATAGGAGTGTCTTGGTTGCTTGGGGTGTGGCCACCAGCCAGTCTCAAGTGGATTCACGATTGGACTTTGGGTCCTGTGGTATCTGGTCAGCCTAGGGAGGAGCTGGACACAAAAGATAGACTTTCAGGCCTGGGGAATAAACGTCATCCAGGCAGATGGTATGTGATTGAGCTCCAGTAATCTGAGGGGGCGCTTAGAAAATTGGCTTCATGTAGGGATAGTTGTTGGAACACCTATCATTGGTAGAGTCAGTATTGGTAAACTGTTTTCCTAGAAAATTTCCACATCAGTTCATATTTATACCCCTTAGGTCATTGATTTATTATGAAAATTATTAATATCTTGTTCTTCTCTCGCATCTTTTTAATATTTATTTGTTTATTTATTTATTATTAAGGCATTGATATTATCGAGTCCCCCCCATACCCCACGGCAGTCACTGTCCGTCAGTGTAGTAAGATGCCACAGAGTTCCTATTTGTCTTCTCTGAGCTACACTGTCTTCCCCATGACCCCCACACGATGTGCACCAATCATGATACCCAACAATTCCCCTCACTTATATCTTTTAGAAATTCTTCTGCCTTATTCCATTTATCTGATGAATACTTGAATGATGATGTAGCTTAGGAGCTTGAAGATTTTCATTGGGAAAGTCCCTGAGGGGATCAGGGTCTCCTGAGGGCCACACACAGCTTTCTGCCAATTCCTCTTGTGTCCAGTATCAGTATTTATTGCTCCTTTCCTGTGAGACTGTCTGCCTTCAGGGATCATGAACAGTAAGACCCTCTCTCAAGTATGTCACCAGTCTCCGAAGTTACTCACAAAACTTGTAATTGGTGATGGTATTGAGCAAGTGGGAAAACGTTTCTCTGAAATGTAATCAGCTCCCCAAGCCTGTGCTGTCACTGCCATGACGGTGCAATGAAAATCGCAGTTCTCCGGGGAGGAGAGTTTACAGATCAGAGACCCATATAGGAGGCTCTGGCTTCTTCCCTCCCACGCGTACGCTTGGTATCATGACCTTCACACTGAGCCCATCGTCCTGGCAAAAGGAAGGACTGCAGTGAGTATTTTGTCTTTCGTTCTGACAGGTGGAGTAGGTAAGGAAGTCTTAGTAAGTGTTCATGTGTGGAAAAGGGATTCGAAGGAGAAGCAGACCCGGTGGACTGCTGGACAGGGAGCGGGGTGTCTCTTAGGTAAAGGGCTGAGCTTGTAAGGAGAGACGAGGAGCCCAGCCCCTGCACCAACACCTGATGGCTCCCTGTGTGATCTAATGAAACCCTCACTGTGGACAGACAATTAAGGATGAATAATCCCAGGAATAATGAAGGATCATTTGTAAGGTGATTAAGGGGTTTAGTCCTGAAATCTTGTGCTGTTCACATTATTTACAGGAATCATGGACTAAATGTTTAGTATTATTAGAGGGGAGCTTATACTCCCTTAATGCTTGTAATACAGAAGCAAATTGTAAGACTTTTCTAATCCCACAGAAACCATGTATATGAATTTCTTTCTGAAACAAAAAATTTTAAAAAATATTTAACTTGGGATATATGCCCTTCCTGGAGCCAGTAACTGTGACTCTAGTGGAAAAATCAGAGTTGTGACTATGGGGAAGGAGATTGCAGACAGAAAGCTCATAGAGGGAAACATGACCTTTTAATTATCGGTGTCAAAACCAGTTATATCTTGTTATTTTCCTTGGTTTAATAATCTAGCATCAACATGAATCTCACAACTAATTTCCTTGTAATTTCAACTTAACATGATGTACAACATTGCATATTCTCCATAATCCATTTTGCATGCCTCTTGTATTTTAGTATCTTTTACAATCTTTCCTTCTTACTAACAGTTTTATTTAATGTCATAATTAGTAAATTCTTAAGCATTTGAAGCAAAAGTATTAACTTTGTGCTTGTCCTATACGCTTTCATCCCATAATAGTATTTCTTGCAGCACAGGTTAGAGAGCAAGGTCACACTGTGTAATACTTTGCTTGATAGATGCCATTGTGCTTTTCCTGGGACAAGAGCAGGTAAGTCTTTCTGCTCCCAGACTAATAGGGAACAAATCTTGCATTCATTGAGTCCGTTTTAGCCACAGGAATGTTTCCAGATGGTTATGGCATCTACACGTCATTATGAGCGCTACAACTTCATTTATATTTGCTATTATTCAAGGGAATATGTAAAGCCTTAAGAAGAGTTGAAACTTTGTATAATCAAAAGTATAAAATAAAATGACATGAATTAAAATGGAAAGGCATAAAAACAAAACTGATAACAGGTGGGTCATTTGGAAACCACTGGCATGTTGTGTTAGAACTGCTCAGCGGGTAGGACACTGTCTTGGCGACCATCCAGATCAGGTTGAAGTGCCCACTTGGCCTCTCACAGGCATGTGGATATGAACAGATCGCTTCACCTCCCTGTACCTAAGGTCCCGTAATTTGCAATAGAAACACTGCCAGTCGTAAATCATGCAGTGGGAAAATCAAAGAAAGTGTGTGTGTGGTGGTGTGGCAGTGATTCATCCGTTGTAAGTGCCATGTGAAGACTGTGCATCCCACTGTGGGAAGCCTCTTCACCAAACGTGAAGTGAGTATTTCTCAGAGAGTGCATTAGATTTGAGTTGACAGGAGAAATACAGCCCACAACACATGTCCCCGTGCAGGATCCTCTGCCCTGAAGAGAAGTGTCAGTCATGAGGACCTGGCAGAATGGCCTCCAGATGGCTGACAATAAGGATGGTCTGCCTTTCTCAGACTACACTTGGATCCTGGGCATTTTCTCTTTTCTTTACCATTATCGCCTTCTTTTCTGCAGTGATACAGGGTAAGGTCCACAGATTTGATCCTCCAGCACCTGGTTACAGCTGCTCCTTGGTCATTCCCATTAAGGGGTTGTTTAGACAATGGAAGCTTTTCGTGAAAGCGTTTCTTCAGTGAGTTCTGAACGCAGATGCTCTCTGTCCTCACAGAGCTGGCAGGCTGTGTCCCCTTACAAGTCTCCACCATCACACCAGCCCCTGCAACTCCGGGTGGGTGGAAATTCAGGTAAAAGCTCCCGAGAATATTGTGTTTTCCACTTTGGTGGACCATGTGTATGCTGGTAAATATAATGTTTCTTATGTATACGATTGCCAAGGGCAGTGATCAAAATATCAGAAAGAACAAAGGCGTAGGACGCTCCTCTGCTCAGTGTCGTGACAAAATCACAGATGCACAGTGGGCAGCTCTGTTCGCATTCCCTCACATTTCATTATTGGGCTCCCGATCTGGGCCTGTCGGTGCATAAGTTTCTTTCCATTTAGACCCAATCAGCAGGTCACCCACACTCACAGGGCCCTTTCTCCAGCTACTGAAAGGTTTGTTCTGTTGACAGGTACTTTCTGAAATGTAAAGACGCAGCCTTGTGGCACTGATGAATGACCACATGTCTGACACTTCCATGGAGAGACAGCGTGGTGTCTGCTGTCCCAAAACCCTGTAGTGCTCCCGAAGTCACTGCCTCCAAGAGCATCAGTCTGTTGCATGTTTTGTAGGAGAGGAACTATTGGGACATACATAGGTTTTTATCTGCTCCAACATTTAAGAGATTATCTCTTCCTGGTGTCTGCTTTGCATGAATGGAATCTTCGAGCTTGACCTCCCTCCCAGAGGCCGCCTTTCCCATCCCTGTGATGTAGTGAACTTGTCTGTGAAGGTGTGGGTTTGTGATGATGAATGCTGGCATTCCTCAGCACCGCTGAACAGCCTGCCGCTGTAAAAATACTGCTTAATTGATTGATTTGTTCATGGGCAAGAGAGTACTTTTCAGTTTGGGGCTTGTATGGGTAATGAATACTTCCGGCGTGAAATGTCAGCATTTCTGGTGAGTGTGTGCATAGAATCGGAATGGATGGGACGTAGGATTGCATGTGGTAAAGTATATACCACAGTTTTCCAAAATGTTTGTACCAAGTTTAACACACCAGCAGTGTTTGAGATTCCTGGCTGACCCGCATCTTTGCCAAAAGTTGGTATTTCTGTCATACTTCTTGGTGGTGGTTGGTGATGTATAGGCAGTAGTTACATGTTAATTTTTCCGATATTTGAGGTCACTAAATATTTTTACACATGCTTTATCCACTCGATAACCTCTTTGTGAAGTTTCTGTCGGAACAAGTTGTCCAATGTTTTGTTTTGTTGTGTAGCCTCTCATGGTTCTTTGTGCTGGCTACAAGTTGTACCTCTTTGGCTGTGTGTGTGTGCATGCGTGCTCACATGCATGTTTAGATGAAAACTATGTCTTAATTTTAATATGGCCTTAAATCGTTTCAACTGTGTTGTTAGTATATTCTGTGCTGTTTAGGAAATATTTTCTTTTTCAAAAGCCACATAAATTTGTTTTTGTTGTTCTGAAATGGACATTACTTTCTTTAAATTTAAGACACCAATCCATTGTGAGATTTGTTGTTTTATGAGGTGGTAAAAGACTGAGGATTTTGTTTAATTCAATATGGCTAAGAAATTTCAGCTTATTTTGAAAATGTTAATGCTTTCTTTCCATTTGCCCTCACTTGTCATTGTCTCCTCCAGGTTAAAACTACTTATCCTATTGCTGACTTTTCCATTAAAAATACTGGTATCTCTCCATGTTTTCCCATGTTATGGAGTCCTGGAAGTCAAACAGGAGCACACATGAAAGTTACTGTTTATGTTTAAAACTTCAATGAGTCTTGCCATGTGATGAATGCGTTGCTGTAATTTAATGGACAACATGTTGATGGGCAGAATAGCATCCAGCGAGTTGACAGTAGGAATAATCTTCCTGTCGCAGACTATAATTGCAATTCTGGGCAATTTCTCTCTTCTTTGTCAGTTCCTGTACTACAGAGAGTGCAGGGTGAGGGCCACGGATTTGATTTTGAAGCATCTGACAATATCCAACTCCTTGGTCGTTCTCTCTAAAGGAGTGCCCCAGACCATGGCGGCTTTGGGTTTAAAACATTTCCTCGGTGATTTAGCATGCAGACTTCTTCTATATGCTCAGCGAGTGGGCAGGGGCGTGTCCATTGGCACCACCTGCCTCTTGAGTGTGTTCCAGGCCGTCAGGATCAGCCCCGTGAACTCTTGCTGGAAGGTCAAATTCCCAAAGTATATTGGCAGCTCTGTTTCCATCTGCTGGATCTTGTACACATTTGTAAATTTAATTTTTCCTGCATATGTGTTCTGTGTTTCTGGTCAATGGAGCAGCAAGAACATGACACGGAAAAGAGATTTGGGGTACTGTTCCTACGTAGATGATGAGCAAATCAGTGGCTCAGTATACGCAGCCTTGATAGCCTTCCCTGAAGTCTCCCTGTCTGGGCTCATGCTCTGGGCCAGCGGCTCCATGGTGCTCATCCTGCACAGGCACAAGCGGCGGGTCCGGCACATTCACAGCACTAATGTCTCCCCCAGGTCCTCTGCCGAGTCCAGAGCCACCCAGAGGGTCCTTGTCCTGGGGAGCACCTTCGTGTGTTTTTACTTCCTCTCATCCGTATTTCATGCTTATCTCATTTATAATCCTACTTGGTGGCTGGTGAACACCTGCAGCCTAATTTCTGTGTGTTTTCCGACTGTCAGCCCCTATCTGCTCATGAGCTGGGGCTCCACTGTACCCAGGCTCTGCTTTGTGTGGGTAAGGAACATGAAATCCCCTCCTCTTTCCAGAAGGAAGTAAATTGTATGTTTTTGCACAGTGTTCATTTTATTCACTCATCACACTTGAAAAGTCAATACAAAATCCCTTAGGAGAAGCCACATGTCTTTGTGAGGTAGACCTGATAGCTGGGTCAATATGGAACATGCATGGGCACAGTGGGGGAGGGAGACAGCCCGGCCTGATTGTTATGCCTACTAAGTTGGTGACAGGGTCTTAATAAAGTGGTGCTTGAGACAGAGGGACTGGATATGGTCGTAGCTTCTGTCAGATGAAATAGTTGGTTTGACCCTCTGTTGTGCTTACGGGAATACTAGGTAGAAGGGAATAGTCAGGTAGTGAGTGGTGGATGGTGCTGGCAGACAATTCATGAGTTTCCTAGGTACAAGCATACCTTACAGGCTGTGGCAGGCCAGCATTTATTCTGGACGATAGTTGCTAGATGTTTGGAGATTTAGGAAAGAAGCCTGGGATGTCCTCTGGTTTCACCCCCCTTTAGACAAGTCCTAAGACAGAGGAAACCTTCAAGAGTGAAATCGGACCAGGGTCCACTAAGGGCCCCAGGCACCACCCCATGCCCCTGTGCTCCATGGGTGCTGGTTCCCCATGTGCGGAGAAGGCATTCCTTTGAATCTGCCCTACCCCAGAAAGCTGGCTGCTGAAGTTGCACTGCCCTGTCCGCACACTGTGCTTGGCAGACCCAGTAGATTGCCTGGTGCAGCTATGCCCAAAGGGACGGCAGAGGACACGGCCAGATGTGCTGGGATCCCTGTACCACTAAGCTGCAGGCTCCAAAGATCCAGGATGATAGTTTGTCCCTAGTTGAAAGGAGAGATGGTCACAGAAGATTGAAATCAGGATCATATTAACGACAGAAGGCATAACTAGGGTCTCCCATTGCAAGGGAATAATCGTCTGCCTTGTTCAAATATGCATAGAAAACGTGGAGTCGGGACAGTCCATTCCTGCTGCATGTAAGCTCTTCCAAAAATCCAGCTCCGAGAAAGAACCGGGCATATGTATGTATCAGTGACTTCACCCCAGGAAAAAGCACTGGCAATTCCTTGCCAAAAGGCATGTGACGGTCGCCTCTGACACAGTCCAAATCCGCTTCAACGGGAGCTCGCTTCAGAAACAGTAGAGACCGACCCTGAGGAGTGTACGCTGTTTGTGGGCCCAGTCTGTGGCAAGAGTGGAGTTCACGTGTGAGGTGCACATGTCACAGGAAGGTCTGCCCAGGCTGTGGCTCCAGGCCCATGGAGACACCGTGGGTGGGCATGCCAGTGCCTAGAAGACTCCCACTGACCGTGAGCAAAGGGCAGTGGTGAGTGTCTCATCCAACATCCATAAAGCCACTTCTGAGACTGAGAGATTGCCCTTCCCAAAAGGTTTTCCGTGTGCCTCTCATATGACCCGAGGGTCCACCCGGACCTGGAATGACATTGGCCAGGCCGGGAGAAGAGCCGTAGGAATGAGGAGGGAAGAGGTGACATTCTGAAAAAGAGAAAGAAGGTCCTGGAGCACCTCAGGCTTCTTTCTCCCAAGGTCTCCATTCTAATTGTGTTTCATTAGACTCTGTTTCCCTATTGGTAACCATTCATCACTGGGACAGTGATATTTACCAAGTTTCTTATTTTCTCTGTTTTTGCTGCCCTGCCATGAGTGAGTTGCTGAGAGACAGCCTCCCCATTACAGGGCAGTTCTTAGTAATGGAAAGAGACTTGACAAGGGTACCCTTTGAGATGCAGCCTAGCCCTTGCAGACCCAGAGCCCCAGGCGTCTTCAGCCCCAACCCTCTCCAACATTCTAAGCCAGTATTTTGCTGCTGTAACCCGACCCAGGACCGGGTATAATGAACTGAGGGACAGCACCTAGGCCTCCAGCCCACCAGAACCGTTCCAAGTAGTCAGTCCTGTTTATCGCGTCCTGCCGAACGGTCCCCAGGAATTCCCAGGAAGGGCTCAGGCCGGACTCTCCGCCCCTCATGCTTCTGCCTCCCGAGAAGGAAGTGATGCTCTGGCTGAGTCCCTGCCTGGTGTGCTGTGACCACCCCCACAAGAAATGTTTGTGATAAAATCTTTCAGGGCGTTATCTTCACTGTGCCATCCTCATCCCTCACCTTCATACAGTGAGACACAGCTACGCAAGACTTTCTGGGAGAGGAAATAGGAGCCTGGTTTAGATGTGGTAAAGTAGAAGCCAAGGGGTTTTCAGGGAGGGTGAGTCAAATGCCCTTCGGGGTAGAGTCTGGTACTTTTGGATTCAGAGAGCATGAGGAGTTGGGGTGCAGGGCCAGTGTTCTGAGGCAGCATCGCTGGGCCTCCCGAGACGCCGTGAGGAATGCAGGCTGTGGGACATCCCAGGAGGACCCAGAGAATTGGGTGGTGCCATTTGCCCAACGTCTGGACCGGAAGTTCTCCCAAAGCAGCCTCTAGTCCTGCCAGTTCAGCCCACCACCACTAGTGGAGGAGCCCCTGTGTTGGCCCCCTCCCCTCTGATTCCCACAGATGGGCCTGCCTGGGCCTGGGTGGGCACCCAGGGCTGGTTCCCTCCTGGGCCCGCCCTCTGAGGGCTCTGCTGTCCATGAGTGTCAGGCTCCAGCAGTGACATCGTCAGAGACTGGGGACCTGGGATCCCATGTTGAGAGATTAGAAGTAACCCTTAGGGGTTCTGTGGTGGAAAAGGCAGATCCTTCCCTTTGCATTAGGTCTTGAGGGCTCCCCGAACAGCATCCCATAGTCTGCATGGCTTAAACAACAGAAATAAATCCTCTCGTACTTCTGGTGGCTACAGGTCCAAGATTAGGTAAGGACATGTCTGGTTTCCTCTAAGGTGTCTCTTTGGCTTACAGATGCTGTCTTCCCACTGTGTTCTTACTGTCTTTTCCTCTGTGTTCACACAGGTCTGGTGTTTTTCTTGGTGTCCAGAAGTGATCTTGTTATAGGGAGACCAGAAGTACTGGATTCAGGCTCAAAGTTTTGGCCTCATTTTTATTTAAACACCTCTTTCATCACTGTCCCCCATGGGATTTGTGCAGTTGATTCTGTTTTGTGAGGAGCAGAAATTAGGGTTGTGTAGATGCAGGATTCTTGGTGGCTGTTTTTTTGCACCCAGATACCAGGGACCAGGTTGTATGTGTCGATTCTGAGTGGAAGGGTGTGATATTTTCCACATGTTTGACACTTGTTTAGGTTTGGACAGAGGGCTCCTCTAATAGTAAAAGTACTGTTAGGGGTATTCTGTGTTGCATAGTTTGGTTCCAGTGGTGTAGCTGGGCCAGAGTCAGGGCACATCCACCAGTTTTGTCTGAGGCAGGCATGTGCCCAGGTGCATAACCATGTGCCACTGAGGAATCAACTTAGACATAGAAACTCCGAAACCTTAGGTCCATCCACTGATTGGAAGAGATATGTCATTGTGCAAATACTAAATGGTGTATTCATTGCCTCTGGCCATCATGGCCTGGTGCATGGGTTAGCCTCCACCAATAATAGAAAATACTCATAACCTTTGACTCTGATGTCATTTACAGAGATGGTCCCTCCATCATCTGTGTGTAGAACTATGACTCAAATGTTGTACCAGAGTCCAAGATGAGGGACACAATCCAAAATGCACACTGATAGACATTCTGCAAACAATGGGTGTGCATCCTTCAGCATTGTCATTATCAGTAAACACAAAAGAGTGATAGCTGACCTAGGTTAAAGAAACTAAAGCATCCAACTGTCACTATTTGCAGATGACATGATATTATACATAGACATCCCTAAAGAATCTACCAAAAAACTACTAGAATAACTGAATTCAGCAAAGTTTCAGGATACAAAAGTAATACAGAGAAATCTGCTATATTCCTATTTACTAACAATGAAGTAGGCAACAGAAATCAGAGAAAAAACTCCATTTACAACTGCATCAAAAAGAATAACATACCTAGGAGTAGACTTAACCAAGGAAGTGAAATACGTATATGCTGAAAATTGTAAGATACTGATGACAGAAATTGACTAAGACAGCAATAAATGGAAATCTATCCCATCTCATGGTTGGAAGATTTAATTTTGTCAAAATGAACTCCGTCCCGAAGCAATTCAGATTCAATTCAACCCCTATCAAAACACCGAAAGCATTCTATGATGAAGTAGAATAAGTAGTTCTAAAATTTATATGGGACAATAGACCCTAAATAGCCAAAACAATCCTGAGAAAGAACAAAGCTAGGGGGATTATGCTCCCTGACTTCAACCTATATGACAGAGCACAGTAATGAAAACAATTTTGGTACTGGGACAAGAACAGACCCATAGATCAATGGAACAGAATAGAGAGCTCAGACATAAATTCATCCATATATGGTCAATTAATGTATGATAAAGGAGTCATGAACATATAATGGAGGAAAGGCAGTTTCTTCAACAACTGTGTTGGTAAAACTAGACAGCTACATGTAAGAGAATGAAACTGTATTACTGTCTAATTCCGTACACAAAGGTAAACTTCAAATAGATCAAAGGCCTGAATGTAAGTCACGAAACCACAAAACTCTTAGAAGAAAACAAGCCAAAAATCTCTTGAATATAAGCATGAACAATTTTTTCCTGGACAATCACCTTGGGCAAGGGAAACAAAAGGAAAGATGAACAAGAGTGTCTCTATCAAACTAAAATGCTTCTGTACAGCAGAGAACACCATCAGCAGAACGAAAAGCATCCTACCGTATGAGAGGATGTAGTCAAAAGTGACTCATGTGATAAGGGATAAGATCCAACATATATACAGAACTCATATAGCTGAACACCCAAAAAACAACCTTATTAAAAAATGGGTGGAGGACCCAAACAGACACTTTTCCATACAGGAAATACAAATGGCCAACAGGCACATGAAAATATGTTCCACCTGGTTAATCATCAGGGAAATGCAAATTAAAACCACAGTGAGATACCACCTCACACCAGTTAGTTTGGCCACTATCCAACACGCAAGAAGGAACAGATGGTGATGAAGATTCTTAGAAA